GGGGTTCCCCTAATTCCGCTTATTTTCCTGATCATTTCGATAAAACGAAAATTAAAATTTTTAAAATTTTTAATAAAAAAATACAAAAAATTTCATATCTCACTTTTTAGCAGTTCGCATTTCTCAAAAAATATCTCAAAACGTTCGCCTCGACGAGAGGACGAACTTTGCTCCGGTGTTCCTCGCACGAAAGCGCGCGGATCAGGAGATGTCGAGGAAAAACCAATTAGAAATTTTAACTCATGATCTTGAGGATTTTTAATTAGAAAAATACAAAAAATTCCATATCTTTTTTTCTAGCCGTTAGAATTTTTCAAAAAACGTCTCCAAACGTTCGCCTCGACGACAGGGCGAACTTTGCTCCCTGCGCAGCTTGCCCAAAAGCGTGCGGATCGGAAGATATTTAAAAAAAAACTAAATAAAATGATTATCAAAAATATAACTAATCAAGAAAACAAGCTAATTAGTGTTTGACTAATCCCGTGCACCCCCGTTGGTTGGGGAAGGCCACGGCCTTGAGGGTGATGCTCCCCTCCCCGGCAACGGCGCCAAAGTTGTGAGGAAACCCAGGGAGGGGCGCCTACCGTTCGCTGAGGCCAAGGGCTAGAACGCCTGTCAGTCGCTGCGCCCGTTCAGAGGTCCTCGACGTTCAGTGGCTTGACTATGAACCGTGACTTCAGTCATGCGATCACTTTTGCGCTAACTTGCGCACTGCTGTTCCTTACTGCTGAAAACGAACAATCAAAGGTTAAAACGATTTGCTCTGGTCTTTGTCCAGGGCGCTGATACTCAGCAAACGTGTCCAGAACTTCATGAATAAATCGAATAACAATAAAATAAAAATAAAAATGAAAAGGGCTCTCCTTTGCTGTATGTTCACAGTCATCCCGCTCGTTCGTACCCAAGCTCACATTATCCCGCCTGATCTCTCTCTCTCTCTGAGCTCATTCCGCTGCCCCCGCTAAATAGCTGTTGGGAATTGACATTAGATAAAATAAATGAAACAGCAACTGTTATTCGTGCTGGTCCAGTCCCTCCGATCAAAGTTTCACGTGAGTACCCTGGTGGACCAACCTGACTCTCGATCAAATTTTAAGTCTTACCTCTTACTTCCTTTTATGTTTGATCGGTGATGTATGCTTGATTGCCTGTTCAGCAAGTGTACCTGGACTTAGGGGTTTGCCCGATTCTCGGATCAACGACGGCGTTGGTTGGCTGTTCTGCAGAAGTGAAGTGACTGGTTCGTCGTAGGCGAGAATGCTCGAATATTAGCTTGATCCGCAGAAGTGGTCAACAACAGCCTCGATTGGTTTGCTCTGCAGATGAGAAGTAGCCGACCCGCCAATAGCGGAAATGCCCAACTAGTTGTTCACTGGATTACATCGTCCCCGTCAGCAGTGGGATCACCTGATAGATCGCTTGAAGGGTACTGTTTCCACTACCAGCGGAATCACATGATCGGTCACACTGAAGAAAAAAAAAAAAAAAATATTGTTCCAGCTAGCAGCGATGTCACATGATTAATAGTATGCTGGCGTGCATCGTTCTTGCTAGTAGCAAGATCACATGAATGGTCACACCGATGATTTTGCTGTTCTCGCTAGCAGCGGGATTTCAGATTGGTAATTCGGTGGCGAGCACTGCTCCCGATGTCTCCCTTGCCCTTTCCCTCCCACTGCACAGTCTCTTCTCTCTCACTCGTTCACATCTTCCCATTACCACTCTCTCTCTGCGTCTTTCTCCTCTCTCTCACTATGCACACTCTGTGTGTGTGTGCGAGTGTCTGTGTGGGGGAAGATTCGTTGCTAATATAATGAGGAGAAATACGAAGGCATATAGGTCGCAGATCCGCGTGTAGACGGCCCGCTTCGTTGAGATGATTCCTGCTTACAAATTTGTGAAGAATGGGACGGGCATATCAGTCCAGGAAAAAAAAAAAAAAAAAAAAAAAAAAAACC